TGAAGTCTAAAGGCAGCAAGAAGATGTTTTTGAATAAAAAGACTTTTTTTAAAAAAAGGTCCTTTAGGATTTAGTCCTGAGAGATTCAGAAATCAGGGGACATTTGAGGAAGGAATAGAGATTAAAGACATTGATTCTTTAGATGAGCACAGAACGGACCAAGATATTGCTATATGATCTCATTAGAGGATGCGGTTTCTTAACCTCATTGAGTATAAGCCAGTGCCCAGCATCTTAAAGGATACATATGCTAGCTGAAGATGACCTTGAATTTCTGGTCCTCCTACCTTTACCCCCTGAGTGCTGGGAATGACATGCCCAGCTAACCTTTTCCAAATACTGAATTAACTGAAAAATATTCTATTTCCTTTACAAAGAGTACATTGCTTCTGGGCTCTTACAATACTATGTCGAGGCCTAAAATTTGTTGTAGAATGAATAATCTAGTGTGTAAATCAGCTTTTGTAACTATAACAAAATAGCTGAGATAAATAACTTATAAAGGAGGAAATGGCCCATGGTTTCAGAGGTTTTAGAGGGACATGCACTTTTTTTGTTTGTTTGTTTCTCAAGACACCTATGTAGTTCTGGCTGTCCTGGAACTCACTCTGTAGACCAGGCTGTAGCCTGGAACTCAGAGATCCACCTGCCTCTGCCTCCCGAGTGCTGGGATTAAAGGCATGCACCACCACCACCGTTAAATAAGGTGGGAAGGTGCTTTTGGGCCTGTAGTGAGGTGGAATATCATAGCAGAAGTGTGTGGTGAAGGTCCTGGCTAGGAGAGAGTGAGAAGAGAGAGAGAACAAGAGATAGAAATGGAAATAGAGTATTCAAGCATGCATATCGCAAGTCAGTGGTGAGAATTCAAGGCTCTGACTGAGGATGGAAAGACACTGGAGAATTTTAGCAGGACAGTGCCACACTGTGGTTTACATTTCTTCTTGGAGCTACTGCATGAACAACAGAACACAGAAGAAAAAGCATTGAAGCAGGGTGACGTGCCAGGGCATACTGCTGTGGTCTGGGAGAAACCTAGGCTGGTTTCCTCTCTGTTGCTGTGCTAAACTACCCTGACAAAAACCAACTCAGTGAAGAAATGGTTTGTTTTAGCTCACAATTCCAGGTTACAGTCTGTCGTTACGGACAAGTTGAGGCAGGAAATCAAAGAGCTAGTCACACCCATCCACAGCCGCGAGCCGAGGGAGGTTGATACACACCTGCTTGCTTGAGTCGACTTAGTGGCTCCACTCATACAGTTCAGGAGCCCTTGCCTGGGGAATGAGGCTGCCAGCAGTGGGCTGGCTCTTTCCATATCAATTAATTTAATTAACACAACAGCCTACAGACACACCTAATGTAGACAATTCCTTACTGAAGCTCTCTTCCCATGATTTAGGTTGCATCAAGTAGACAATTATGGCTAACTATCACAGCTGGCAACATGGAGGTGGTATACAATGACAACTGATTTGTATTTTGGTAAATTCATTTGTGCCCCTGGTGGTGGGGACAGAGGTGAGCCTATCATTTGAAGGTGGAGCTGAGCAGATTTCAGGGGTTTACAAATGATGGTCTGACAGAAAAAGGACTCAGATTGGCTTCATCCTAAAGCCTCGCTTCTCAAACTCTTCTGGGATGCCAGGGTGATACATGCACACTATACAGAAAGGCTGAGTAGAAACTGGGTCCACAGCATCATCGAGTGCTTCTTGGGTACTTACCTACTTGTAGTGAGGTCTTGTGGCAGATGGCAAAATGCCGCTATAGGGGTCATGGGAGGTCACAGTCCAAATTTTGCAGTTCCCATGGGTTCTTGCTACAGTGGATCACATGACATCTAAGTGCTCTTGCAGCTTTAATGCTCTGCGCCGTCACTGTTCAGCGCCCGGGGAGACACAGCCAACAGTGTGTGCCGCCACCCACAAGTATACAAAGGAAGATAGGACTTTAATGCTCTGTGCCATCACTATTCAGCACCCGGGGAGACCCAGCCAACGGTGTGTGCCGCCACCCACAAGTATCCAAAGGAAGATAGGAGTGGCAAGCGTGTGACTGACAGGCTGACCATTTGCAAGAGGGCCTGAGAGGTAGCAGGTCATAGAGACATTTTCAGTTTCTATAGTACTCAATTTAGTAAGTGTTTGGTTATAGCACATTACTTTCAGTAAGAGAAAGCAAGTCTATATGCTTTTATTCTAACTTATATAATGAAATTTTATGCCTCTTTTATCCAAATATATGACTGTGCATTTCTCCAACTAGTATATAAAACTCTCCAAAGGGTCTTAATGAGTTTCAGTAGGCCTGAGACAGAATACAAAATAATTTTTAAAAATTGCTAACAGATTTGACAAAGAGGAACAGGAACATTGTAAGGCCCACAGGAAATGCTGTTCTCCCTTCTGAGGTAAAGTGTATTTTCATTCAACCATGTCATCCTTTAAGATGGGTTTATAGTAATATTGCATTTCTCAGTTATTGTATGTGATGGGTATTCTTGGTTGTTAACTTGGCTAAAGCTGGAGTTAACTAAAACTCTCGTGACTGGGTACACCTGTGAGGGATTTTTTTTCTTAATTGAGTCATTTGAAGGGGAAGACCCACTTTTTTTTTGTTTTTATATTTGTTTTTGTTTTTCGAGACAGGGTTTCTCTGTGTAGCTCTGACTGTCCTGGAACTCGCTCTGTAGACCAGGCTGGCCTCCAACTCACAGAGATGTACCTGCCAGTGCCTCCTGAGTGCTGGGATTAAAGGTGTGCAAAGGTGCCTGCCACCACTGCCCAGCTGGGAAGACCCATTTTTAATCTGGATCTTTTGTGGTGGGAAGACCCACCTCTAATATGGGCCACTCCTTCTGCTGGTAGCCTATATAAAAGACATGGGGGAAGGACCCTTGTTCTCTGCCTGCTTGCCCTCACTCTGGTTGGCAAGTCCCTTCCTTTGCTGGCATTAGAGCCTACTTCTCCGGGATTTTGGCCTAAACTGAAGATCAGCTGAGACGCCAGCCTTGTGGACTGAACAACTACTGGATCCTTAGACTCTCTGTTGGTAAACAGCATTGTTGGACCACAGCTTGTAAGCCACTCTAATAAATCTCCTTCTCTCCTTCCCTGCACTCCCTCCCCGCGTGTGTGTGTGTGTGTGTGTGTGTGTGTGTGTGTGTGTGTGTGTGTGTGTGTGTATGTGTTTCAGTATATAAAGTCTGTTCCTCTAGAGAACCCTGACTAATACAGATTTTGGTACCAGGGTTGTTCATTGGGTGTTCAAAGCTTGGTGAGCTGTTCTATGGGCCTTGGAAGACAAGAATGTAATGTATGAGAAATGCAGAGGGTGGAGGCCTCCTGGCTTGTGAAGTTCCAGAGGGAAGTTTGAGAGTCACTACTGCATATTTTGAATTAAGAATCTGTAGTTCTGGTCAGCTGGGGCTGAAGAGTCAGCTGTGACTAACAAGTGATCAGAACCATGAAATGAAACTTTCACTTCATTCATCGAAGTGGGACAGTTGATGGCAGTCACCTAGGGCCGAGAAATTAGCAGGATGAAGAAGAGACCAGCATCATTAGGGTGAAATCGTCTGGGAAGTGTTTCCTCAGAGTCGGCACACAGAAGCTGTGTTCCAGAGGTGACCAAGGTTGTACCTCCTGCAGGCAGCTGAACGTGGTAGTGTAAGAGTCACTCAGGTGATGCTGGTTTTGAAGACATGCTGGGGTCAGGGAGAGCAGACAGCTGAGGCTTGGCACCATGAAGAGAGGCCAGGAGAGGCTACTGGTGAAAGTGCAGCCCAGTTGCCACAGAAGACCCCAGCATTTTGGAGATGCCAGTACCATGAGATGACCACCCAAACCAGCAGCCTTCCTGGAGCCAGCCAGGTACTAGAAGACAAGCTGTGTGTGCTGCAGAAGGTGGAGCCAGAGGCTTGACCCAAGCCCTTGGCGGATCTCAGTAGATTGTGAGTGGATCCTAGACAGTGGACAATTTACACAGTTTGGTAATTTACACAGTTGGGATTTGGTTTTGGTTTGATTTGATTGTGACAGTGGCCTGGTTCTTCCCTCTTGAAGTAAGGAAGTATTTAATTCATTTTTGATTTTATAGGAGCCCACTGTTGAAAGACATTAGATCATAAAAGACTTTGGATTTGAAAAGAGACTGAATTTTTAAGTGTTTAAAATTTTAAAGACTGTGGGACTTTTTAGGTTTGTAAAATGTTTTATACTGTGATGTCTTTATTTATGTGTGACCTTGGGGATGAAAAGAAAGGAAAGGTTGTGGCTTAACAGCATTTTGTTTCTGCGTCAAATTGACAAGGGGGTCAGTTGTACTGGCTGTTTTATGTCAGTTTGACACAAGCTAGAGTCCTGACTCCCTGTGATGGTGAACTGTGATGGAAGTGTAAGCCAAAGGAACCCCTTTCTCCCCAATGTGCTTTGGGCATGGTCTTTCATCACAGCAACAGTAACCCTGACTTTATTTCAGGAAATAAGAGACATTGTTCACGATCAGTATGCTTCATTTTCTGTCAAGAGCAGTAGAGATTTACTTACTTCATGGATCTGTGAAGTAAAGTCATATATGTGTATGGATGTCTACAAATCTACTCAGCAGATTAAGACTACTTTGGATACACATCTGGCCTTTTTTCTGAGACACGGTCTCCGGTTTCATATATCCCAGACTAGCCTTAAACTTTCTATATAACAGCCTAGGATGAGTTTGAATTTTTATTTTTCCTGCCTACCCTTTCCTCGCCCCACCACACGTGGGTTGATGTGGTGTCCTGGGGATTGAACCTAGGACTTCATGCACGCTCTCTCAACTTCTACATTCCCAGCGCTAAGCAGAACTTTCTCATTTTTGTCGCAGGCCCCGGTCTCAGACAAAGATTCTGAATGGAAACAGAGGGTGGCCGGGAAGGACGGCTAACAAGTAGGGAGACACCGGCCACTCCGCGGGGCTGAGCTGGGCGGGAGACAGCTGGCCTCACGTGACCTCAGGCCCCCGGGCAGCTGGGACCCCGCCCCTCCGCGCTTGCAGGGGGAAGGGGAGGCGCATGCGCACCCCGCGTTAGTGATGGAGGAGAGAAGATGGCGGAAGCGGAGTGAGTGACTTGCTGGTGACTGATGTCGTAACCGGGGGGCGAGTGAGGGCAGCGACACGTCCCCCCGAGGGAGCTCTCAGGGTCCCGAGGCTGACAGCGCAGGGCGGAGGAGAGGCGGGAGCCGCGGCGTGGTGGAGGAGCCCGGGCAGGGGAGGAGGAGGATGGCAGGTCCCGTCAGCCTCCCCTCGGGAGTGCGTACGGCGCGGTCCGGCCCCGCGGCCCTACCCGCACGGCCACCCCGGGGACCGGGCCTCCGGGGCCTCCCGGGACGCCAGCCCTGGGGCGCTCTTCCGGGGCTGTCACTCCGGCGGCGGGCCCCGCCGAGGTGTGTCGGGCTGGGCGGGCGCCGCCAGGCCTCCGCGCTGGCTCCTGCGACCCGTCGCCGTCCGTCCGTCAGTCTGTCCGGCTTGCGGCGGGAGCTGCGGGGGACCGCGGGGAGGCGTCCGGGCCGCAGTTGCGGCTGGCCGAGGCCGAGGCCCCGGGCCTTTCCTTGCATTCCCCCTCCGGGCTCGGGCTGCAGCGGGCTCGGGCTGCAGCGGGCTCGGGCTGCAGCGGCGTGCCTCCCTCCCTGCAGGGCCGCATTCTTGTGTGGCGCTGTGATGGTATGCTGGGTTAGCGACTTGAAACTTACTGGTTCCCGGGTAGGCCTCTGGCATACCAGAACTGAACGGTGCAGGTATTTCCATGTCAAGCCCATGCACTTATCAAAAGAGTTCTTTTGTACCAGGCCTCGAAATGTCTGCGATGATTTTTGGCCAGTTGCACTCACCAGTGTTTAGAATTGATGTCTAGGTTCTCTGTGACCATTTTTGGTAGGTCAGAACTACTTGCCGTCGCATTTGGGCTTGGGAGCACAGCTGAGCAGAATAAGACTTTGAAAGACCAGGGTTTGCGGTGGTGTATTGAGTGTCATTGGTACATGGTGCAGAAGTGTTACGCCAGAGGGTAGTTTGATCAAGGTTTTATTTACCTCACTGCTGATTGTGTGCAGTATTGAACAAGTACAATATGACCCTGTGGTTGGGTGATTGGAAGGCAATTAAAAAAATAGCAGTGAAAATGTTCGATTCAACTTACAATAAAAGAAGTTAGTGAGAAATCATTCCCCTCCTTTTTTCCTTTCACTTTTCTCCCTTGTAAATTGGATGTAATTCAGATATGGTGGACTGGAGAATGTGGAGTCTCATTGAGGGCTGCATAGTGATACCCTGTTTTGTTTTAAGAACAGCAATGTTCTCGTTACATTCTTGTCAACGACGGGAATGTCGGTTGGTTCAAATTTTATTTCTCAGGAGAAAAAGACAGATAAAGAAAGAAGAAACTAGTAAAACCTCACGTGGGTTTCTGACCCTGGAGTAACAACGAATGTGCTTTTAGTTTGTAACAACATGGAAGCCTTTGCAATTGACCTTAGAGGTTTGAGTTTATTAACATGTAGATTTCTTATTAGGTGAAACTTTGTACCACAACATAAATGACATAAGATTGTAATATTAGAGGAAAAAGATTAGAAAGTTTGATACAAAAATGTACTTTACTTGCTGTATATAGGAAAGTGAATTAGTTATATTTCACCACCACCGCAAATTTTAGAGCAATTCTCCGTGAAAAAAGATTTTTGTAAGGATGTAAGAAGTTGCTTTTATTTGCTGCTTCATTTCCCTAGTCTGTTATTAAGCTAAACTCTGTTACTAGAATTAGTAAGGTCAATGTTGTAGACTAATAAAAAAAAAGAGTTGAAAAAATTAACTTAAAATTTTTATGTGTATGGGTATTTTGCCTGCATATATGTCTCTGCATTACTCCATGGTGTGTGCCTGGCTCCTCAGAGGCCAGAAGAAGGTATCTGATTCTGGGACTCGGTTTCTGAGGGTTATGAGCCTCTGTGTGGGTGCTGGGCATCAAACCCAGGCCCTTTGCAAGAACAGCCAGTGGTCTTAACCATTGAACCATCTCTTCATCCTCACTATTTTTAATTTTAATTTTTTTTTTTGTTTTTGGAGACAGGGTTACTCTGTGCAGTTTTGGAGCCTGTCCTGGAACTCACTCTTTAGACCAGGCTAGCCTCGAACTCACAGAGATCCTCCTGCCTCCCGAGTGCTGGGATTAAAGATGTGTGTCGCCGCCACTACCTGGCTTTAATTTTTATTTTTAAATTACTTTTTTTTGGAGACAGGGTCTTGTGTAGCCTAGGCTGACTTCTTACTTATGTAGCTAAGGATGACATCTTTCTTAAAGTGCTGGAATTACATGTGTGTGAGCCACCATACTAGGTTTAATAAGAGTTTATTTTTAAATAACCACGTGGCACCTACAGTTAAACTAGTGAATATAAGTCCTTAGGAACCGTCACTAAAGAATGACTTTGAGGGGTGGAGAGATGGCCAGCAGTTGGCAAAGGACCCAGGTTCAATTCCCAGCACCCACACTGTGGCTCCGAACTGTCCATAACTCCCCAAATGCATGTGTAGGAGCACACAGGCACAAAGATACATACGTTCTTTCCTCCAGACACCCAAGAAGACAGAAATAAGTAAAGAACTCTGATATTGCTTGGTTTCAAAGCTGTCTTTTTTTTTTTTTTTTTTTTTTTTGGAGACAGGGTTTCTCTGTGTTGCCTTGGCTGTTCTGGATCTCAGTTTGAAGACCAGACTGTCCTTGAACTCACAGAGATCCACCTGCCTCTGTGCCTCCTGAGTACTGGGATCAAAGGTGTGCATCACCACCGTTGGGCTTCAAATTATCTTTTATATTGGAAAAAAATTCACATAATATATTTTGATTACGTTTTTTTTTCCCTCCTCAATTCCTCCCAGATTCCCCCTATCTCCCTACCTACCCAACTTTCTTTTCTTTTCCTCTCAGTCTTTTTTAAACAAACAAACATAAAAACAAAAACAAAACCCCAGAAACAGCTGGATGGTGGTGACTCACACCTTTAATCTCAGTACTAGGGAGGCAGAGGCCGGTGAATCTCTGTGAATTCCAGGACAGCCAGGGCTACACAGAGAAACCCTGCCTCAGAGGATAGGGGAGAAAAAAAAAAGAAAAAGAAAACTACAGAACCCCCCCCAAAAAAAAACCCATAAAATCAAAATAAATAGGCAAAAGACCAAGTCTAGACAAAAATTGCCAAAACGAAGCAAAATGAAGCAGAAAGTCCACCAAGTTCTTTCTGCGTTGGCTAACTACTCCTGGGCCTGGGACCTGCCCTGTAGTGTGTTTGGTAGATAGATCCACTGAGACTCCACGGAGAAAATTTGTTTTCCCATTGCCAATGGGTGTCAATTCAGATAGCTTATGGATTAGGACTAGGACCCTGTGTCCACTCTCTCTTTCAGATCTGTCCTTTTTCAATAATGCAAACGGAAACTTCAAGGTTTTGTCTCCGTTGCTGTTCTGCGTCGTTTGAATTCAGTTTAGCAGATACTACCCATCAATTATTCTGTATGTGGGGAAGTATGTTTCCCCCCTATTTGGTGATTGTGTGCTGGCTTTATTGTATTAAGGCCTCCCTAGACATTTAGACTCTGAACTAATTATTTCTTTGTAGTGAGCATTCATTGAAGCTCCTAAGACAGTGCTTTTTACCAGTACTGATCCTTTGTGTTGTCTACTAGATTTAAGGATCACAGTGCGGCTATGGATATCGAGCCAAGCTCTGGAACATCTTCTGTGTCAACGACAGCCAGTAGCACCACCACCACCACCATCACCACTTCCTCCTCTCGAATGCAGCAACCACAGATCTCTGTCTACAGCGGTTCAGACCGACATGCTGTTCAGGTACTTCAGCTATATGCGTGGGAGGTTAAGCCTGAAGATGGCAGACTGCTGTGCCTACGTCAGCTGTATGTGTTGATTCCTATTCTAAGACAGTAGAATTGTAAAAGTTCAGGCTGGGATGTAGCTCAGTGGTTGAGGGCTTGCTAGTCTGTGTTTGATCTCTAGCATTGCCAAAAATCAAGTAAAAAAAAAAATCATTAAGTTTTTAAAAACCAATGAAGTTATTTAATAATTGTACTATTGAGAGGGCTTACGTTTGTCTACATGATGCTTATAAGATTATGTGTCAGGAAAATTATAATTGAATGTCTCTAAGTGCTGCTGTAAGAGTGAACATATTGCTTAGGAGATATTTAGGATAGCTGCTTTTCTGTCTTAATTTTATATTTGAGCCCACTGTGCCACTCACAGAGAGCTTCTCACATTCAGGTGGCATGAGAGCACTAAGCAGGAGGCTCTGCAGCCTCTTGTGGCAGAGAGGGAAGAGAATATTTAGAAAAACTTCGGTGTAGTCACTTAACTGAGAAAGTAAAATCAGCCTAGTTGAACTTTAGACCAACAGAGACAATAAAGTATTGTTTAAAAACACCTAAGAGTGTTGTAGCCTGTTGGGTTCTCTGTGTGCCCTTGGGTCCCAGGAAACAGGAAATGCGGATGACACTGTGTACTTTTATCACTTACTGTGAGAGTTAAACGAAGCATTAGAACTGTGGGGGATGTTACAGGTTTCTAATGAATGACAGTGGTGTCTGTCTGTTGAACAGTTTTTATGTACCAAGCATTTAATAAATGCTTTCCTTGTGTGGATTATTTTGTTTAATCCTTTATACCAGAACTCTATACAGGAGGCATTTTACAAATGGGAAGACAGTGTTTTAAATAGACTAAATAATTCCAAATTCACATTGCTGGTAGGTTTTCTGCCTTCGGCTCTGCCATTGACTGCTCTGCCTTCTCCGAGTTCTTGCGACTTCTGTGTTACTCGTCTTCGTTTTATAGGCTCCTCAGGTGCATTCTTTAAGGGTTTTTAGTGCTGGGGTCAAAATGCTCTTTAATAATTGCATTCTTCCTGTTTGTGCTGCCCTCTCCCTGTGCTCTCTTCTTCCATGGTAGATAGAGAACTGTTGGAGACCTAGTCAGCTCAGCAGAAAGTCAACTTTGAATGCACAGTGTGCTTTTAATGCCTTCTTTTTTCTCTGTGGTGAGAGAGATGTGGAAGGATATTAGAGTGAAGAGCATCCAGATGGTATGATATTTGACTATGCTATTTTTTTTTCATTTTCACTTAAGCTGGGTAAATTTATAAATGAAATGTTACTAGAGACATTGCAGGTACTGATATGTCTCACAGGAAGTCAAACTCTAGTTATTACAGATCATTGAATTACCTCATCTAAAGTGTTTTCAAAGCCACTTAAGTAGTTCTTTAACTTTCAAGCTTTCTGTTTTAGTCATGTGGATTTTCTTCACCCTATTTCAGTAGAGAAGCAAAGTAAGAATGGTGTATTGTGCCTTTAATTTGCCATTACAATGTCTGTGGTGAATAGACTATGTTGACATAGGACATTACTATTCTGAGGGAATTGGGCATCAAGTTGATTATTCACTTGTTATTGAGTGTGAGTTTTTAGAAATTTGTTATGGAATTAGAATATCATGTATGGATTTATCTGACCAAAGAGAAATACTGTAGTTGTGAGTCACTTAGTGTTTTGTCCATAGGCTTCTGCTATGAGGACTCAACTAGGAGTGTGTGAGAAGAGTTCGGAACAGGAGAGAGATAGGAACACACACAAGTACAGTAACCGGTAGAGATCCAAGTGAAGGGATTCATGGCTTTAGGTCAGCTCTCCCTACTTACCATGAGTTCTGGTGTTCTCACTCCGGCAGTCCTGTGAGACTGCTGAGTGCTGAGATTAGAGCTCCGCTGTTGAGAGTCACATGACTGATGAGGCAGTCTGACTTACTTTGAACAGAGGGAGGGAGGAGTTTTCTGTTGTCTTTTTAGAATACTTGACCTCTGTGTAGGCTCAGACTTCACCTTTGCTAATAAGTACTATAATTAATGGTTTCTATGAGTTTATTTTTAACAAAATTACTCAATTTTATTAAAAAAATTGGATATGTTTGTGTAAGAGTGTTTTGCCTGCGTGTGTGTATGTCCACCAAGTGCATGAAGTGCCCAGAAAGGTCCTAGAGCTGGAGCTATGGATGGGTGAGAGCCACATGGGTGCTGGGCACTGAATCTGGGTCCTTTGGAAGAACGAATGCTCTCAACAGCCCTGTACACATTTTTAATGTGTGTGTTTGCCTGCATGTATATACATGGACCTTGTGAGTGCCACTTACCCACCAGAAGATGGTGTCAGATGCTCTGCAACTACAGTCATAGGCAGTTGTGAACTGCCACGTGGTGCTGGGACCATACTCGTCTTTAACTGAGCCAACCTTCCAGCTTTAGGAGTTTTTCAAATATTCTTCCACCAAAGTCCCAGGAGCTGGTGATGGTGCAGCAGATGAAGGCATCTGTCTCTAGGCTGGACCGCCTGAGTCTGATTTCCAGAGCCCACTTGGTGGAAGGATGGAGCCAAGCTCCTGCAAGTTGTCCTCTGACCTCATACACACATGCCATGGTACATCAGTACACAAATAAAGAAATGCACTTTTAAAAAAGGATTAAGACTGTTCCTATGTGGAAATATAAAATTGGGTATTTCTTATAAATTTAAAAATTATTTTCAAAGAGAAATACCTTTTTAATTTTATACATTTTTTTTTTTTTTTTTTTGAGACAGGGTTTCTCTGTGTAGCTTTGGAGCCTTTCCTGGAATTCACTCTGTAGCCCAGCCCAGGCTGGCTTAAATTTATACAATGTTTAATATAATTGTAGACTTTGAGACATGTGTAGGAAAGTTTAAATCAGACACTAAAGGTCATCACTAACGTATTCACCTTTATTATCTCCTTGAGTATTTTAAGACCAAATGGTATCCTACTCAAAATGATTTTCTTTACCTTGTGATATGTTGGTACTTCATGTTATTGTATAATACAGGAGTCACTAGGTATACCTGTAGCACTTGATATTAAAATTAAAATTCAAGTTCAGTTTAAAGTTAAAACCTACTTCTTTCCTCTAGCTGTTCTTATGTCCTTGCTGGACATGCAGCTGGTGGTCATTGCATGTGTCTGTATCACTGTATGTAATGGCTGCATGGTGAGAGCACTCTCTACATGTGCCCTGAAACTTACCAAGTTGTGTACAGAAAGGCTATGAAACTGAAATTGTTACTGCTAGTCTAGGAGGGGTTGTTTTCCTGGTCAGTTGTAGTATTCTTTTGGAACTTTGTCCATCCAAAAGTTGTAAAGTACTATATCCCTTTAACTAGTAAGGTTTTTTTTTTTTTGACTACTAATGAGATTTAAGATTTCACATATTTGTCCCATTCTACTTTAAGTGAATGATCTGGGTAATTTAACCTAGTGACATGTAACAATAGGTAAATGTGTCAGTAAGCTCAATGACATTGACTGTTAAAGTAGTAAAAACTTAAACTGCCACTTTTTATCCTAAAGTTTATGGTTAAGCTAATGGTTGATCTGGAGTTAACAATGGTAGAGCCTGTGCTCAGCATGTATAAAACCTCTGAAGCAGAGGGAAAAGACAGGTTGAGATGCTGGTTTGACATAGGGTCCTTACCTTACCACAGGTAATTCAACAGGCATTGCATCGCCCCCCCAGCTCGGCTGCTCAGTACCTCCAGCAGATGTACGCGGCTCAGCAACAGCACTTGATGCTGCACACAGCTGCTCTTCAGCAGCAGCATCTAAGCAGCTCCCAGCTCCAGAGCCTTGCTGCTGTTCAGGTGAGAAACTAAGTGGACCACTCAGAGGCCACAGTTTATGTTAGATACAGTGTAACTGAAAGTAAGGAGGCCGGTGTTCTATCGGTGTTCTTAGGAGGCCTGTGATGCTTTCCCTGGAGGAGGTAGGTTAGTAGGCTGACCAATACAAGTTCACTGGAGGAGAATGGGTGGGTTTGTGTGTTGTCAAAGTTGGATAAATGCTCTCTCCATGGTGGACTTTTGTCTCTAAAAACTTTAGGGACATTGAATTCCTAAGGTTACATGAATTCCTTTTTTTTTTTTTTTTTTTTTTAGCCAAAAGCAAGTTGGTTTTTTTTTCTTATGTAGGTAGTTTATATTCATTAAAGAACATCAAGTGAAATAAAATTACAAGAGGAGGATGTAGAGTTGCTCATTCTTTCTACACCTGTCACTCCTGCTCTTCAGAGGTGGCCATGTGACAGTATACAGATGTGTGTGTGTGTGTGTATGTGTGTGTGTGTGTGTGTGTGTATACCTTTCTAAAAAATGAAATTAGTCCTATCAGTAACTTAATGATTAAATGTTTGTTTTTTAGAAAACATTTTCATTAATATTGTATAGTTTAAAATTTTTGTGAAATTTAGTTGTTAATCTTAAATCTCACCAGAAAATTATCTTAATTCACAGAACCTGAAAAAAAAAATCTATTTCTATTATCCATAGGTACCAGCTCTTGTTTCTTTTCAATAGTGTGCTTTTGAATTTTTTTTTCTTTTTTTAAAGACAGAGTCTTCATCACAATCTAGACCAGGTTGGCCTCAATCTCACAGAGATCTACCTGCTTCTGCCTTCCAAATGCTGGTATTAGAGATGTGTACCACTAAGCCAGGCTTCAATAGTAGAATTTTTTTTTTTTTTTTTCAAGACAGGGTTTCTCTGGAACTTGCTCTGTAGTCCAGGCTGGCCTAGAACTCACAGAGATCCGCCTGCCTCTGCCTCCCAAGTGCTGGGATTAAAGGCATGTGCCACAATCACCAGCTTCAGTAGAATTTAAAATAATACTTTAAATGACAGTTATATTTATGATTTAAGAAAATTGAAACCCACTGACTGTTGATATAGCTTGAGTTTGAGTTTCTTTTTCTTTTCTTTTCCTTTCCTTTTCCCTTTCCTCTTTTCTTTCCCCTTTCCTTCCTTCCTTCCTTCCTTCCTTCCTTCCTTCCTTCCTTCCTTCCTTCCTTCCTTTCTTTCTCTCTCTCTCTCTCTCTTTCTTCCTTCCTTCCTTCCTTCCTTCCTTCCTTCCTTCCTTCCTTCCTTCCTTCCTTCCTTCCTACCTACCTACCTACCTACCTACCTATTCTCTGTATAGCTCTGGCTGTCCTGGAACTCTGTAGACCAGGCTGGCCTCGAACTTGGAGATCCACCTATCTCTTCCTCCTGAGTGTTGGGATTAAAGGCATGCACCACAACTGCCTGGCTTCATTTTTTTTTTAACAAAATTATTAGTAGTTTTGGTGTGTTATGTGTGATTACACATGAGTGTGATTGTATGTACTCAAATGTCCAATGTATGTACCCATGTGTGCACATTTGGAGGCCAGAGCAGTCTCTCTGTAGTTCTCCTATCTGATTGCCTTGAAACAGGGTCTCTCAGGAATCGGAAGCTCACTGTTTCAGTGAGGCTACAGCCTGCAGGATCTCCCTCTCTTTGTCCTTTAGTGCTGGGCTTAAAGGAATGTAAAGCCATGCCTGGCTTTTTATGTGAATGCTAGAGATTCACACTCAGTGTCCTCGGGCTTACAGAGCAAGTGCTCTTACCCACAGAGCCATCTCTGCAGCTTTTAGTGTCGTCTTCGTGATGGAGTAGGGAGCTCAACTAAAGATAACAGAGGAGTGAAATTGATGATGGTTGTTCTCATAGTCTGAAGAGTGATTGACCAGAGCCATGTTGTTTTTTGGTTTTGGTTTTTGGTTTTTTGAGACAGGGTTTTTCTGTGTAGCCCTGGCTGTCCTGGAACTCACTTTGTAGACAAGCTGGCCTCAAACTCACAGAGCTCCACCTGCCTCTGCCTCCCCAGTGCTGGGATTAAAGGCGTGCACCACCACCATCTGGCATATTTTTTGTTTTGAGTGAATCAGCTTATTAAGTAGATAGTAATCGAAAGTAAAAGGTTAGATAAATAGATACAAGAAAAACATTATCAAATCAGGTGCTCAAAATAGCCAGCAGGGCAAGCCCCATTGAGGCAGTCAGTTGTTGTTCCTAACAGAGTGTCCTGGATGGAGAAGAGTGTCCCCTCAGGTGAGGCTCCCAAACACCAGCACAAGCAACAGCAGAGACGTAATGCCATCAGGTCAGGGGTTTACAAACAGCCAGCCAGCAGAAACCCAACTAGCTAGAGTTCCCAGTGGACATGCCCAGCTGGAGCGGGGTATCCTGTTGGGTGAGGCTTCCAAGTAAAAGAATGCGTAGCAGTGTATAGAGATAACATCATCACATTGGTGCTTACCACCTCCAGCAAAAACCAACAGAGAAGTGAGGAACTCGTCAAGAGTTTCCAGTTGAGCTTTCTCTGCGTGGTTGAGCTCCACCCACACCCCTTTCCCCTACAGCCAAACTTCCAGCCTTTCTTTCCCTTTTACTTTATTATTTACTTATTTAAAGATTTTATTATTTATTTATGTGTATGTGTGTGTTTGTATGCACACCTGTATGCTAGTGCCTGTGGAGGCCAGAAGAGGTCATTGGATCCCCTGGAGTTGCAGTTACAGGCAGTTGTGAGCCACTTTTCATGGATGCTAGGACTCCAGCTCTGCTCCATCTGCAGGAGTAGCTCTCTTCACTACTGAGCTGTCTTTCCAGCCCAGTGCAGGCACTTTTATTTCATGGGGGTAAGACATAAGAACACTGGATGGTTTTACTCTGGGACTGTTTTGCTTCTTTCTCCCCTCATGTCAGAGTTAGTGAGTCCAGCCCACCCCAGACAAGGGGTCTCAGTAGACACAGACATAATGGACATGCTTGGGGCTGAAGTTTGTGGGGGGCAATTCCATTTCTAGTACCAGCTACTCAGTGAGCTCAGACAACATAGGACAGTGTACCAACATAATGCGCATTATGAGAGTGCAGCTGATAAGACAAGATTAGGTCTTTGAGATGGCTTAGAGGGTAAAGGCACCTGCTGCTAAGCTTGGCAACAAGTTTGATGAACTGAGTTTCCTCCCTGGACCCAGATGGTAGAAGCTGTGTTCTGTGAAGCACATGTATACAGGAACACAAAGTAAATACATACAGAAATGTAGAAATAAGACTAGCCAGGGGGGCCTTTGTTCTCACTTTTCAACTTTGCTTTTTCTTAAAAAAAAAAGAATAATGGCCAGGGTCAAGCCATGTTGAATGTAAAATGATTTGTTTCATGCATAGACTTGAGCATTTTTATTGTAGTTTTGTATTATTGTGGCTCAAGGAAGTGTTTGGTTTTTTTTCCCCTCAAGGGAGTTTTTAACTTTATGTTTTTACAGACTTATTACAATAGTTTTATTATTTTAGGCAAGTTTGTCCAGTGGAAGACCATCTACATCCCCCACAGGAAGTGTCACACAACAGTCAAGTATGTCCCAGACATCTGTAAGTATCCTAAAATTTCTCCTGGATTTAAAATTTTTAATTGTTGTTTTCTAGAAGGAAGCTTGTTATTTATGAAGCTGCTATTTAATTATTGAATACCTGGAAATGAGAGTAAGAAGATTGGAGATATAACTTCTGAAAGTTGGAGGTTTTTAAAAAAAAGGCTTATTTTGCTGGGCAGTGGTGGCACACACCTTTAATTCCAGCACTCTGAAGGCAGAGGCAGGTGGATCTTTGTGAATTCAAGGCCAACGTGATCTGTATAGTGAGTTCCAGGACAGCCAGGGTTACACAGAGAAACCTTGTCTCGAAACAAAACAAAACAAAACAAAAACAAACAAAAAAGTGGTTTTTCTTATTATGATTTTATGTGTGAGGTACTTACAGAAACTATAATTCCAAGTGAATGTATTTTTAAATGACATAATTAGTGCTACTTGTCCTAAGCCAGACAGGAGTATGCCAAAACTGAGTGGCTGGTTGGGTAAAAGAAGTATGAAGGGGTAGATGTCAGGTAAAAAAATAACATCATGTCTATTTTGTTTACTGTTCTGGGTAGCTAGCTGTTCCACGAGTGATTTGACCAGAAGCACATTACAGTGGTCAGAGTCACTTAATAAAACTCAATAGAGAGACATGTAGTTGGATTTTTTTCTGGGCCATCAGTTCCCAAATAATGACACGGAGACTTTAATTATGAAAGCTCAGCCTTAGCTTAGACTTGTCCCACTAGCTCTTACAACTTAAATGAATCCCTTTATATTAATCTACATTTTGCCACGTGGCTTTTTACCTTTCTTCCATTCTGTGTGTCCAACTTGTTCCCTAGTGTCTTCCCTGTGCCGAGATTCATCTACTTCCTCTCTTTCTTCCCAGAAGTCCCACCTATACCTCCTGCCCAGCTATTAGTCGTTCATCTCTTTATTAAACCAGTCACAGCAATAATATATCCTTATACAGTGTATAAATATCCCACAACAGAGACAGGTTGTGGTAACAGAAGTCTCTAGGAAGTAATAATGAGCAATGAATTATTAGGTGGCAGTCTACTCATGTTCTCCTGGTGTCCTCCATCCCCTCTGACTCCTAACAATCTTTTTTTTTTTTTTTGGTTTTTCAACACAGGGTTTCTCGGTAGCTTTGAAGCCTGTCCTGGACTAGCTCTGTAGACCAGGCTGGCCTCGAACTCACACAGATCCACCTGTCTCTGCCTCCTGAGTGCTGGGATTACAGGCGTGCGCCACCACCGCCTGGCCTTCTAACAATCTTTTCCCCCCTCTTCTGCTTGGTTTCCCAAGATGGGGGTGGGGGCACAACCCTCTGCATAATGTCTGACTGTGGGTCTCTGTACCTACTTGTTGCTAGAGTTTTCCTGCCTGGCCCATAGTCAGGACAAATCTCTGTCACCCGCCAGTCCCACAGCCACTCAGACCCAACCAAGTAAACACAGAGACTTATATTGCTTATAAACTGTATGGCCGTGGCAGGCTTCTTGCTAACTGTTCTTATATCTTAAATTAATCCATTTCTATAAATCTATACCTTGCCACGTGGCTTGTGGCCTACCGGCATCTTCACATGCTGCTTGTCATGGCGGCGGCTGGCAGTGTCTCCCTCCACCTTCCTGTTCTCTCAATTCTCCTCTCTGTTAGTCCTGCCTATACTTCCTGCCTGGCCACTGGCCAATCAGTGTTTTATTTATTGACCATTCAGAGCATTTGACATACAGACCATCCCACAGCACCCACTCCCATCTGCTACGGAGAAAGGCTCTATGAAGACTGGACAAGGCACCATTCTATGAGAATAGCATGAATCATTTCATTGCTTTTTTTTCTTTTTTGATCAGTCATGTTTGGTTCTTCCCTAGATCTCTAGGCTAGCCAGTCTCCAGTTCCTGGCCATCTAGGCACTGTAGGGTGGGGGCATGCTCGTGTGGCATGGGCCTCAAGTTAAATCAGACATTGGTTGGCCACTTCTGTAAATTCTGAGCCATCATTGCCCCAGTACATCTTGTAGGCATGGCAGGTTGTAGGTGGAAGATTTTGTGACTGGGTTGGTGTCCAGGTTTTTCTTTCCATAGCCTGCAGAATACCTTCCCATACCAAAGAGACTAGAATGTAGGGGTGAAGGCTCCATGTAGGCACCACCTTGATCTCCCTATATTCATGAGATGTGAGGATGTTGTCCTCAGCAACACCCTCCCCCCATCGGTTTTTGGAGAGCAACACTCTGTTCTAGCATCTGCCTGGGTTGTGTAGGGATCTCCTCAGCCAACAACTCAACTGAGAATGCAGCCCAGTCCTACCACTGGAAGCCTTGCTTGGTTACAGAAGATGGCCAGTTCAGACTCCACATCCTTCATTACTAGGAGTCCTCATTAGATTCCAGGAAGTTTCCACTGCAGAATGTTTCCACACTGTTTCCCCAAATATCCCCCAGTTTCAGGTGTCTCTCCCTACACTCTCTCCTTGATCCCTCCTGCTGTTCCCACCTACCCCCAGTGCACCCTCAAAACCTATTCTATTTCCTCTTCCCAGGGAGATCCATGCGTCTTTTCAGAGCCCTTGTCCTTACCTAACCTCCTTGGGTCTCTGGATTGTAGCTTGATTATCACTTACTTAACAACTAATATCCTCTTATAAGTGAGTACATACCATGTTTGTCTTTCTGGTTCTGGGTTACCTCACTCGGGATGATATTTTTTCTAGTTCCATCATTTGCCTTCAAATTTTGTAATGTCATTTTTTGTAACAGCTTAATACTCAATTGTGTAAATTTACTCATTTTCTTTATTCATTCTTCAGTTGAAGGACATCTAGGTTATTTTTAGTTTCTGGCTATTTTGAATAAAGCCACAATGAACATATTTGAGCAAGTGTCCTTGTGGTAAGGTGGAGTGTCCTTTGGGTATAGCTGGATCTTGAGATAGATCGATTCCCAGTTTTCTGAGGAACCGCCATATTGGTTTCCATAATGGCTGTACAAGTTTGCACTCCCACCAGCAATGGAGGAGTGTTCCCCTTGCTCCACATCCTCACCAACATGAGCTGTAACTTGTGTTATTGATCTTAGGCATTCTGACAGGTATAAGATGTGTGGAAGACCAGCTCCCACATTTATTTACCCCAGGGACTCTTGAGGAATGAGGGATAAGAGACTTAGGTAGAAATAAAGAGGGGAGAGAAACAGAGAGAAACACAGGATAGCCTCAGGTGGGCCTGGATTCTTATCCATCGGCCCAGAGCTTTATTCCAAAGGGCTATTTATTTATTCCAAAGGGCTATTTATAACAATGCTAAGGGGTGGAGCAAAGGACCTTCCCTTTGCTAGTTACAGTCAAGTGTAGACCCTTAAAACACCAGGTACTCAGGCCTGTGGTCCAATCAACCTGGTATGCAGTCCTGCTGGGTACAGCCACTAGGAAACCTAGTGGACTCCAGCAAAGATGGAATCTCAAAGTAGTTTTGATTTACATTTCCCTGATGGCTAAGGATGTTGAACATTTCTTTGTTTCTCAGCCTTTTGAGATTCATCTTTTGAGAATTCTGTGTTTAGATCAGTATTCCATTTTTAATTGGATTATTTGGTTTTTTGATATCTAGTTTGAGTTTTTTATGTATTTTGGATATTAGTTCTCTATCAGTTGTGGAGTTGGTTAAAAAAAACTTTTCCCATTCTGTAGGCTGCCATTTTGTCCTTTTGACAGTGTCCTTTGCCTTACAGAAGCTTTTCAGTTTCATGAGGACCCATTTATTAATTGTTGATCTTAGTGTCTGTGCTATTAGTGTTAAGTGCAGGAAATTGTCTCTTGTGATAGTGTATTCAAGGCTATTCCTTACTTTCTCTTCTATCAGGTTCTATGTGTCTGGTTTTCTTTTCAAGATAGGATTTTTCTGTGTAGCCCTGGCTATTCCTGGAACTTGCTCTATAGACCAGGCTGGCCTTGAACTCATAGAGATACACCTGCCTCTGCCTCCCGAGTGCTGGGCAATGTGTCTGGGGGTTTTTTTTTTGTTTGTTTTTTTCCAAGACAGGGTTTCTCTGTGTTGCTTTGGAACCTATCCTGGAACTCACTTTGTAAATCAGGCTGGCCTCGAACTCACAGAGATCCACCTGCCTCTGCCTCCTGAATGCTGGGATTAAAGACATGTGCCACCATCTCCCAGCTTATGCTAAGGTTTTTGATCTTGTTTTTCCTGTCTTCCAACTCCTTGTAGACACTCCCTTCGTCCTTAGCCACTCAACTTTGTGTTCTCTCTTTCCAAAAAAAAAAAAAGCAGAAAAAAAACCCCAAACAAGAAGTATGACAAACAACAACAAACCCTCCCCCCAAAAAAACCTACAAAATGAAAATCAAGCGAACAAAAGACCAAAAATTCAAAAAAAAAAAAAAAGCAAAGCAAAATGAAACAAAAAGTCCACAGAAATACTACTGAGTTCCTTTTATGTAGGCTGGCTACTCCTGGGCGTGGGGATCTGATGTCTTCTTTTGGCCTCTGTAGGCACTGCATACACCTGCAATTCCCTTCTACCCCCTACATATACATAATTAAAAAGAAATCTGCCGGGTGGTGGTGGCGCACGCCTTTAATCCCAGCACTCGGGAGGCAGAGCCAGGCGGATCTCTGTGAGTTCGAGGCCAGCCTGGGCTACCAAGTGAGTCCCAGGAAAGGCGCAAAGCTACACAGAGAAACCCTGTCTCGAAAAACCAAAAAAAAAAAAAAAAAAAAAAGAAATCTTTTTTAAAAAGAAAATTTGGGCTTTGAGAATACCCAGTTATGAAACCTTGAGTGAATGGACATGGGTTTTCATGTTAAACTCTATAACTGGCCAGTGATGTAACTTAGGGCAAGCAAGCCATTTCACTTGCCTGCACTCCAAGCTTTTGCAATATTGTCTATTTAGATTTTCTAGTTTTTCTTCATCCAGATATCCCTAAATTTAGATTAAAGAGAGAAGATTCAGTAAACGAGGATATGAACTGAATTGTGTCTTCC